TGCATCGATACCGGTTACCGATGTAGTGGACAATGGGCAGAACTGCACGTACTGACGAGCCCAGATGGGCAGTGCAATCGGGATGAGCTAGCGGCCTCGGGACCTGCTATACAACCAATATTCTGAGACATGCACTTTCAGGGAATTAGGTATTGGGATCGACAGTCCAGGTATACGAAGGAACAAATCGATGGGGTCAGGGATGAAAGCAGAGTTTCACTCTTGACTGTATGCGAGGACTTGTCAAAATTTGCCAAGGCGACTACAAGCTTTCCGACAAGCCATCTTCGAAAAAAAAGCTCCACGAGATTGTTTTCCAACAGTTGATACGCCATAGATTGGATGGTTAAGTATACTTGAAGATAACATTAATATATGTATAGTCTGAGAGCACTCGAAGTGTTTGGTATAGATTGCGCATTTCGGTATAGGTATAGTTTATTCATTTTTTATTTTATTACTAATCAACTTATGGCCTACTATATGCACGATCACCTAATTAGGATGTCGCGCGAATGTTACTGGCATCGCAATTTGTTGTTTTACGTATTTAAAATTACTTTGAGAGCGCTTCGACGATCGATGATTTCTCTCGCTTCGAAGAGGGACCATTTCATTCGATTTGACTCTATAGTGAACACCCAACGATCCTTGAAGTGTCAATGTTTATGCCCACACGGTGTGTGACCATAAAACTGCTAAATTCAGAAATTTGGCTTGGCTAAATAAAAGGATATCGAGTGGCATCGCTACAAAATTGAGGGCGAAAATTTTCCCTGAATTAACAGTGTTTCTTAAACCAACGGATGAATTATTACGCTTCTCCGACCGTTATCTCGGCTACCCTCTCTCTATTACCCGACTATCGATATTCCAAATGTCTTTTATTCTTTCAGTCGCTCTAAATTTAACCTGCGATAGTTAAAATATTTCAATACTTGGCAGTGAAGTATAGGGTGAAACATTGTTTTCCAACGTATAATATGTATATCGTGTATAACCGCCAACAGGTGTTGAAAGTTTGGTTGTTTTCTATCTCGAGCACGTACGTATACATATAACAGTCGATATTATAATCGGTACATCGACGTAAAATTATAGACGAGCTTGAAAAAGGAAACATTTACGCGATAGTCGTGGGTGTACCGACACACATAATAGTTCTTATCCAAGTGAAATCCGCGATCGCACCGGCTACCGCTGCGTGAGTTATGTATAAGTTGCTGTGTCCATCGAAGTGGCCCAACTTTTTGCACCTCGAGTCGAAAGAAAATAAGGGTCAAGTGTATAACGTAGCGCCTACATAATATATATGCATTGCAGCGAGTTGATGGTAGTACGACCGATCGGTAAATCGGTATGACGATACTCCCCGGAAAATACACGCGCAGGAAACAAATGCAAATAAAAGTTGTCAACGTGCATTGCTCGCCATGTCGCTGTATATACATATATATATGTACATTTGTTGGAACGATTCGATGGCCTTGGTGGAAATACGTGTAGTATCTGTACTTACATCGGCGATTGTTATTCGTGTGCCGATGACGCTGATGACTGTAGGTATTGGTCGCGCAAGGTTGCGCGGCGATGGTTTATCATTACGAGTGGTAGTAACAACACAGTATTAGTGAGTGTACTCGATGTGTGCATAATAGGGAATTTTTTTTTTTTTTTTTTTTTTTCATTTGTTTTCAACAAATATGCCTGGGCTAGCTCTGCAAATAGACGCTATTTGTACTCTGTAAAAATCACTTATCGACGGCCCGGAGGAAGAAAAGTTTATGGCACCCGAGGTCGGACGCGGAGACCAATTTAACTCACAAAACGTTTGTTCAACTTTCGTTGTGTTCATATGTATGATATATACATATAGTTAAACGCAGTTAAAATCGGCTTGAAAACGAAAAAAATACTCAAACAAGGGAGTTTGATCGGTTTACAGTGCTGCCGTAGTCATTTTTACAAAAAAACCCATGTCATCGTTGTGTGGTTTTTTAAGATTTTATTAGGTATGTATAATATACACTTACGCGATTAGTGATGGGTGTTGATGCGTTTATCGCAAAAAAAATGTACATCTGCGAAGTATGTAATACTGTAGCGCTTGATTTTTTACTTTATCGTTTAACTGTAATGGGTAAAAACGTGATTTTGACTTCTCGAAAAATAAAATATAGGTAAACATGCAGCATACACCCGCAGTATCGTATATAGGTACATATAGAGGATATTCAGTATCAGAACCCACGCTGTATACTTATATACGCTCAGCCGTCGTCCAATATACAAGCACATCCTCTGAACAGAAATGGTAGTTTTCCTACGAGTTTGAAAAGTCTCTGTTTGCGAACCGAGAGGTTTGCGTCCTGAGCCGAAGGCGAGGTCCGTAACGAGGTTCGTAAAGGAGACTTTTCGAACGAGTTCCGGAAAACTGCTTTTTCGCCCGAGGAAGTACCAGCCTCCCAAAACCACCCGAGGGTGGAAAAAATTATTTTATTTCGAAAAAAGCATTTTTTTTTTTTTTGCCTTCATCCCAATACATCGCCCACAGATCATTATTCGCATGCGCGTGTAAGTGTGCGCTTGCGGAGATACGCGACACATATAAATGCCGTACCGTGTACAGTGGACCAGCATAAAAGAGGGAGCAAACGTTTGGGCACAAAAGGTATACATACATGTGAGTAGGTATATACGCGAGGAAGAGATCCATAATACGCATGAAAAGGAGTCTTGCGCGCAGCGCACATAATATATACCTACACCCCACCCACATAGTACATATATGTACACAACGCGCACAAGAAAGTGAAGAAAGAGTAGCTTTACATGCACTTATGCTCGAGTACTTACACTTTTATATATATATATATATATACGATTACAAAAGTTTGTATGTATGCGAATAAGGAGCCAGAGAGCCCAGCCAGCCTTACTTCATGGGGGTGATGGGAGGGCGAATGGAGCTTTTGATGCGTGCTCGCGGTGTATGTGTATACATATATTATATATACACGGCGAGTCTTTACAGAAAGACTCGTACAAGTATATATATATAATATAAGGTAGACATGCAGACTGGCAGAGTCGGGATATAGCGAAAGAGGAAAAAACGCGTTCAAGTATATATACACGTGTACGTATACGTGTGGGATTTGAGGGCGGAGGTAGGGGCTGAGAAGTGTCTCGGTGGTGCTCTTTCTTTCTCTCCCTTCCTGTGCGACGCGGCCATCGGCCGTTTCGAGGCGGGTGGAAGGTGTATTATAAAGATGTTGCACGCATCGCGCATATGTTACGGTTGATGGTGGCTACCGAGCGCGTAACAGGCTCCTCCTGGCCGATGTATGACGATATGGGGCTGCGAGGAAATCGAGGAGGAAAGAAAAAAATAACTCACCCTGTGAATCCAGGTTTTTCAGAAGAAAAAGAAAAAAAAAAAACAATCGAGGGTTGCTCTTTTGTGTTTTAACATGTATACTTCCAACGCTGTCACTTTATTTTTTAAACGCTTGACAGTGCAGTACTTAGTTTGAAAAGCATGTCGATTTACTTGCAACTCCAAAGATGGTACCTTTACCAATAATGACAAACATTTGTGGAACGAATAAGCGTTTACTTGCTTCCTTATTGTGTGACCATTGGATGACCATAGTTCGTCGAAATTAAATGTGGTTGCAAACTCACAGTCGAACTGACATCGAGAGGAAAAATCTAGAATTCTGAAAGGATTAGGAAAAAAAAAAAACTATGCTAGACACGTGTATTTACTGGCATAAACAAAAACTGATACGGATAAAAAAACGCATACCTATCAAAGTTCGGTAATGGAAGCGCTTGCAAAGTCGTCACACCGTCTGTTAAAAAAAGAGAGGTGGAGGGGGGAACGTTCGTACATTACTTTTCGACACGTCCGTTGAACTTTAACAGACTAAACCGATGGTAAAGGAAAATCAAAGTGTTCTTCTCCTCTCAAAATATAATAAGAATCGCTTGATTAGTTAGCCATTTACCTACCAGTCATCCGTATAGGACTTGTCTACGAAGTGCCATTAAAGATGAAGAAATACCAATTTCGAGATTAATACAATTACCCGTAATCTTAGCTTTGATAAGGAGAGATTTTCTTTTTTTTTAATTATTTTTTAATCTACTTTTCCAAACAACGAAGAAGCCACACTTACGCTTCGGACGTAAAACGTGTACACCGATCTTTAATCGAGTATGGGTTATGTCGTAAAAACGTATGGAATCCCGTTTTAAAAATGGAAAAAAATTGCAACGAGAATGAGCGTTTAATTCTCCAAGTACAATATTTTTGCAAGGCAATCGAGCCCACAAGCACACGACGCAAGTGTAACCGATTCATTACCGATCCTCTCGTCAAAGCCCACCAACCGGCACACTCATACGTACACCGATCCCAAACTGCCAGGCCAATGCATTCGATAACATTGCACAAAGAATAAGTGAGGAAGTAAAAAAATGAAGATAAAAGTACATGGGTCCTCCGCGTCAGAGTCCCCTGCACTTGCGCGCGGGTCATCTCCGCGAGCAACCGTAACGACGAAAAAAACAACAATATTGCATGTACACGCACAAGGGTATAATTATACTTACACGTGTACAACATAACATTGTACAAAAGCCATCCACAGCCGCAACAACGAGAACAACAAAAGCATCAGCGAGGAGAGGCATGATCACCAAAAAAACATCCTATACCTAAGTATATATGTACCAAAGTGTGAACGGGGCGTCATGCGCCGGTTGCGCGGCACATGCGCGCGCTCGAAACGCCTCATACATATACATATACATATATATATATGTAGTCGCACGGATGCTTGCATATATATATATATACACACACACGTATTAGTGTGTTATGTGTTCGTGCGTCTCTCTTTATATTTGTGCCTGGGCGCGCGCTGCTCGGCCTGCATCATCAGCTCGTGCTCGCTCGGCCACCGATTTCGATTTTAGTCGTGGCCGGGTGTTCGGCTCGCGGGCACAAAACCGATAATCGTGTACACACGCAGACGAGCACGGTGCCATTGCTCTCTCTTTTTTTTTGTTTTTCAATCCAAATAGTGCGTGCAAGAACATCGTTCCTTCAGTGCAGTAGTTTGACAGACGTCGTTTTTTTTTTTTTTTTTTAGTGCACACACGTTATATCACCCGATACCTTAATTGTAAGTATAATATTGTGTATGCATGCCAACAAACCCATGCGCGGCGTATAAATGTGTGTGCGGGCGCGCGCGTGTGTATGGGTACAAAGTGTTTTTTTTTTGTGCGTTATATTTTTGCATGCGCCCGTTTTCTCTCTCTCGGGGGACAAACTCCGTACGTCCTCGTCGTTAACGTTTATCATCCCGCTGTACGTGTACCGCTGATGTAACGTGCGATGATCGGTGCCGATTTTCCCGTTCGACACCGGAACGCCACGCTCTCGGACTCGCGCATCAGAATAACCGGCTGCACCCGAAGCAACGACAAATAACGCGCTCCTCTCTCGTATCGATTCTTCCTCGTGTGTACATATTATAGCCGATGTTCTTTAGCCTGTGCGAAAAAAATTAAAAAAAAAAAAAACAAGACGCGGACTGAGGGGAGGACCGCGCGTGTATTAGGGTGTATAGCAGAAGGAGAGAAAAAAAAAAAAAATCAGGGAGATGAGAAGAACGACCGAGAGATCGGCTATGACCCGGGGGGGACCGGTTCGCTTTTGTTACGTATACCTGCGCGCGCGTTGCCGGTCTTTCCTTCCTCAATGGCACTCTCTTGCATATAGGTGTATATGTACGTATATAATAACACCTGATGGGGGGCCCGAATAATCTTTTTCTGCAAAGCTTATCGGAACGTATCGTCAACTCTTGCCGAGCATTGTAAATCTGCAAACGAGGAGAGCGAGAAGGAGCGAGCGTCGGAGAGAGAGAGAGAGGAGAGCGCATGCGAGCGGCGAGGGAAGTGTAGGTACACTACTGGGCAGGAAGGGAGGAACATCTGGTGGAAAATCGATCGCGCACCCTCTAGAGAGAGAGAGACGAGCTGTATATACCGTATATACTGTACAATAGTGTATATATACGGCCAGGCGGCAGAGAGAGAGAGAGAGTGGCCGAGGCGCGCGCGGTGGAGAGAGAGAGCATCGGAGCCAGGCAAAACGGTTCTCGATTTCCCGGACCCGAGCCGAGCGCGCTACTGTCGTCGACGACGGTCGTTCGGGCGATACAAGTGCATATTTTTATGTAGTGCAGCGCGTACATATAGGATAGGTAGGTTGTTCGGACGCATGGAAGAGCTGTCCGTCACAATATTACAAATTATCATCGGTTCTCTCATATATGAAGTTACCTCGTACAGTGTACCCATACGTATAATCACAAGTGAGAGTGTACAAGAGAAAAAATAAAAAATAAAGTGAAACGCTCATCGGCTGTGTTGTTGAGGGGGGAACGAAAAAAAAAAGAAAAATAGAAAAAAAGTAAATAAACATCGCGTATAGCTGGTATACCCGCGAGAAGTGCAACTAGCAGGCGAGGAGGAGGAGCCCCCCGGGCTTTATATATATATTCTCCGGTGGTGGTGGTGTTGCTCTAGCTCTCTGTTACCGCTTCGCTGTATGAGTGTATACTGTAATATACGGTAGATTGTTGGCGCGCGACACAGAGAAAAAGAGGGGAAGCTCTCTCTCTCTCTCTCGTGTATATAATATATACATATATACCAACATATAATATATATATGTAAGAACGCGCGAGTGCGAAAGAGAATAAAAAGCTCATCTCATCTTTCTGCTGCTCCCCGCGCGCGAGTGTTTGCGTGTGCGTAAGTAAGTATATGTATACCAATGGTTGCCGTAGTGTATTTTGTGTACCGGAGATCGCTCGATGTTATATACACCTATATAAGTACATCCCTCGTGCTGGGAAGACGCGACCATCGAATCTATCTGTATTATCTATCGTTGATAATCACCTCCTTGCCCATCATGACACAGAAAAAAAATCCGTAACTTATTTTGGTGTTACTCTAGTAGTTAGCCGTGCTCACTTGTCGATGGGTGATTTGTAAGAGTGTATACGTGCATGCGGCAAGAGACGATCGTTATCGGTTAACGATCGGTATGTCATGCATGTTGACTTTGGGTGATGTACATTTACGTATATACGTATGTATACTTGGTGTGTGTCGTCAAATCGTCATTATTAGTCGATTACGCGATTATCAAATGTACGCGGTGCGTCAAAAGAGTGAATCGGCAGTGATTGCGTTATGGTATACTCAAAAGTTTTGGTGCATCATTACGTGTACCTGGAACAAAAAAGAAAAAACAAACAAAAAAAAAAAACATCTGGCCATGCGCGTTTCAACCGTGCGCGATCAAAGGTCGTCAGGAGGAAGATCGGAGATGTGTGGTCCGATCGATCTCCTTAAGCATAATATAGTTTGGTACAATTCCCTTTTAAACAAATTTTGAACAAAATAACAAAACAAAAAAAACATACGGGGTGAAATGATAATTTCACACGCGGTTAGCTGTATTTTTTTTTCCATTGGACTACTCTTTAACATAATAAAGATCGACGGCAGCAGAGCACGAGGTGTAGGGATATACACGTAATACAGTAAATACCGAGCGGCGCACCGCGCATCGGTATACACGTACATTACACGGCCAAGAAAGAAAAAGACGGAACGAAAAAGGAAGAAGAGAGAGAGAGAGCAAACAATAAAAATGATGGGCGTATATGATCACGGATGTGTTTTGCGTGCAGGCGGTTACTCACTTTCTTCTTCCTTTCTCCCCGCGGACTCTTTGTTTTATCATTCCTCTGTTACCGATTTCGAAAACGATTCTCTTTTTTTTTTTTTTTCTTTCTTTGTGATGTGTATACGTCATCCTACAACCTTTTGCACAGTGCGGGCAGGTGTAGGTGTATATATAACATATGTATCATACACACGCCGATGTCTCGAAATCGGGGGATAAGTATACACGATAACAGCCGACCTGATGCCGTTCGTATATAGGTACGCAAAAGCAAAATGTGTAACGCGCACGCGGTTCGGGAGAGAACGAGAGAAGAGTCCCGCGTCCCGCGTATACATGTATACAAGAATTTTTATGTATAGATACACGTACAAGCGTACATGTCGATGCATACGCGGTGCGCGCGCGCGAGCGCGACAAGGAAGGAGCGAGCGCCCGTTTTGCCGATAACGATTATTCGGCGAGTCGTGCGTCCGCTCCTCTTTTTTTTTTTTTTTCTCCTTTTTCTCGCGGTGCAGGCGGCTGTAAGTATGGATGCGGTACTGGTAACCTCGCGCGTCTTGCCGTTACGTCGATTCCGCGTATACCCATTGTTCTCCTCGTTTCGGCACAAATGTGTATAAAAATGTACAAATCCAAGCCAAAACAGTACAATGAGACGGGTATACCCTATATGTATATATATACATATTGCTATGGTAAAGAAAAAATCAGGCGGAAGCGAGCCCTCCCCGCGTAGTATATATAGCAGCGTTGCGTGTGTGGTGTACCGATATATTCTTCATTCCGTTTACCCTACTTTTCTTACGTAAAACATCGAAAAGGACATTGCGCGGAAGTTTGTTGTTTTTGATCGAAGCTCTGCAGCACGTATATAAATATACATGTGCGCATCTAAATATATGTATATATATTATGCACACATGTATATGTACGTCATGTGTGCGAGAGAGGGAGATGTGGTTTGCTCTCTTCCTCGAGAAAAATCGATAGGCTGGCGCGGAGAGAGATGATGACGGTGTGTGATGGTCGCGCTCGAATAATATACATATATACCAGGTAGGGAAGGAGAGGCGCGTCCCGCAAAGTCTGGAGCTGTTTTAACGACGGTATATTATGAGTATACATTATACTTACACCTGAAAGATACTTATACCTATAGTCAACAAACTTGACTCTTTGCTATGATGTTTATCATCGGACGATGTACAATACATACCGATCGTGCAGAAGCGATCGGTAGCATTCTTTGTACCTATATACATCACAAGATACATATATATGTAGATACGAGTAGCCGAAAGCAAAACAGAAAACTGACATTGCCTGCAGTTTGGGCATTCTCGAGGAACGTCTTTATTTTGCTCTTGTTATTCCATACATATTTTTAATCATTCGCGCTCTCCTTCCAAAAGCTCATTGTTTTCGCGGTGTTTATGCGTACGTATATTTTTTTCACTTTCCCCCTCTCCCCTATTAACATGTGTGTATATATATGTATATATTTATGCTCGTATTGTTTACACGCACGTGCATCTCTCTCTCTCCGTCGTTTCCCACCCGAGACCCGCGCCCTCGGAGGACCAGCCTCCGATCGGCCCCTCTTTTTCTCCATCTATGGTATATATCTGTATCGTTGCGAATTATATTGTTACACATTTACCGGCAACGTGTGGATTGTTGACAATTTTTTTACTGCGCGCGAAGAAGCCGCGAACTAACAAGTTGAAATACCGGAGCACTCTTGTACTTGGCCGCCACTGTGCTCTTTTTTTTTTTTTTTTTTTTATCGATTGAGGTTATTTTTGGGCGATACATCGGTATTGCGCGCGCGAGTGTACACCTCCACGACGACGCTTTATTAGCCACGGCGTAGAAATTTGTTACCGATTTCAAGCGAAAAAAAAAAAAAAAAAACTTGAGCCATTCGGGTTCGGTGAAATCGGTACACTTGCATCACCGAGATCGGCACGAAAACTAGTTCGTCCGACCTACACACGCTTTATCAATCAGAATTTTTCTTCTTCTCTTTTTCGCTCGCTCGTCCGTATATTATATATACGTGTATAATTCTGGCCTCCCGATAATCGCCGTCACCCGCAATAACGAACCGGAACAATCCGCTCGCACGCTCCCTGTCCCCCGCGATCGTGGGTAAAAACGTACACATACAGCGCCATTTTTTTTTTTTTTTTTTTTTTTCAAAGAAGCAAAAAATAGTATAGGTACATAGTATGTCAACCGATCTCCGCACGCGTCAGGGATTAATAGCGATAGCACGCGATATATATTGTTGTTGCATATGCGCTTTAATTTCCCTCGATCAACCGGCCCACGACAATTAAAGCATCTCGGGGGTATAGGTGTGCGCGTGTGTCGAGGCACGTATACGTATATATGGAGCGTACGTACAAAGATACCCGCTGATCGGCAACGCGGGGCCGTTCGTGTGAATTTCACCGGCTAACGCACCAACTGTGTATACGATATATATATATACGTGGTACGCGCTGCGCGGCCGGGGAAAATTATCGCTGGCCTTTTTATAGAAACCGGCGCTCGTGCCGATGCGCGGATAACGTACATGTGTGCGCGCCGAGACCGGCAACGTCGCCCGCCATACGCACGACTCCTTTTATACACACGCGCGCGCTCTCTCTTTCCGCCCGAAAGATCGGTCATGGGTCTCTTCTTCCCTCTCTTTTGGTGTGTACTTGTGCTGCGTGCCGATCGCCCAGGAATGGTGTGCTCTATCTCCATGTTTTTTTGTTTTTTTTTTTTTTTTAGTCAGAGATCGGTAAGCGAGCGCGGGCGTTTCCCTACCGTGGTACCAAACGACACATTATTATACATCTGTTTTCGATCGTTTTATTTGGGTCCCATGGGGATGTAAAGGTGCGGGGTAAAATAACCGGTATGTTAACGTACTTGTGCCACTGGGCGTCATATAACGATGGGTGTGTAAATGTCGTCGCGTTTGTCTGAAAAAGTATCGTCGCCGTGTACAGGCGAAGCGAGAAACCGATGAACCATACCCATCGAGTGTACTACCGATTCTCTCTCCAATGAACGATCTGTTGGTCCCGCAGGATGTCGATAAAGAGCAGCAGCCGCATGCTCCCGGCAGCGTCGGCGGTGTCGGCGGCAGGATGCGGAGTCGAGAGCAAACGGGCCGGGAAAACCATCACCTGCATGCGCAACGGGAAAACTAGCAGCGGGAGCAACTGCAGCACCAACAGCAGCAGCGCCAGCAGCAACAGCAGCGGCAACAACAACAACGCGTTTGGCAACACTTCACCGGGCACGAAGAGGGAAGTCGAGGAGGAGGAGGAGGACCACGAGGACGAGGACGACGAGGAGGAGGAGGAGGAGGAGGAGGATGACGAGGAGGAGGACAGTTTGCCGCTGAAGCAGGAGCCGTACGACTCGTATTACGACGAAGCGGAGTACTTGCACCAGCAGCAGCTGGCCGATGCGGAGGGGTCGTTGCAGCAGACGGGCCGCTCGGGGGCCGCGACTTACCCTACCATACTGACGAGGGTGCGCTCGCACTCGCGCAGCCTAAGGGCCATGGCTAACCCGAGCGCCGTGTGGGCGCACTTTGACCTGTGCTCCAACGACCCGCTGAGGGCCCAGTGCAGGATTTGCGGGGCCGTGGTTGTCAGGGGTGGCGCCAACCCCAGGCAGTGCGGCACCACGAATCTCCACCGGCATCTCAGGGTGCATCACGGAGGCAGGCTCGTCGGCAAGAGATACCAGGGTAAATCATCCGCCAGCCTTGTCTTTCTGCGTGATGGGAAGGAACCCCTCACTTGCTGGTTTTTTTTTTTTTTTTTTCCATGCATGATGCGACGTTGGTTTAAGGAAAAGGTTTTTCCTTGCGAGACCCGCAAAATCTATCGGCAACATTAACGGACGTCGATTCTTTCGATCAATGCCCGTCTAGTGTGTATACCTGTGGGGTGAAAAATCTATATGGAAAGGGCTTATCTTGACGAGCATCAGGGTGCAGTCTCTTGTCCACTGTGGCTCTGTCGTTGCTCCTCTGTTTCCATATGTTCATCGTTCTTTTGTTTACCGAGCTTAACCTTTTCCTTTTGATCAGCGATATATAAGTAGAGAAGCCTTTTTATAGATAGTCCATCCGCCAAAAAAAGACTTCATTTTACTCATTGCCTGTAACTATATAGTTGTATATTTTAATCATATTTTTCATTGTCATTTGCGCAAGTGGCATGTGATAACGAGTCGATGATAAAGAGAAAATACAAATTTTGCAGTTGTGAACGACAAGCGGGAGCACAACGAGCAGAAGGCGTTGCGAGCGGCCACGCAGAACCTCGTGCGCCAGATGCGCCAGATAGCGCCGGCTTTGACGTCGACGAGTCCTCAGAGCAACGCCCAGCGCCAGGCCCAAAAGATCCAGCAGACGGTCCAGGCCGCCCAACAGCAGCAAAAGGAGCAGCAGCAGAAACAAAGGCAGCAGTCCTCGGGGCAGTCGAAAAAGTCCTTGCTGCTGAAATCGATACCCGTGAAGGTGAAGCCGGTCGTGTCGAGTGCCGCCAAGATGCCGTCTCAAGCGGTACGACACAGCTTGCAGAACTTTCAACAGCTACCTCAGACGATCTTGCCGCAGCAGCCTACCGAGGTGAATTTTTTTCTTTTTCCTTTCAATTCATTTCATATCGCCACGCAGGTGCGTCACGTTTGAGACCAATATCGATACTCTTACGTTTTCATTGATGAGTCTTTCGCTGGCCACCGATAAAAAAAAATACGGTCTCTTCTCCAAGCGTGTTTTTATCTTGGGTTTTCATTTTTACGTTTCATCAAAGAGCTATACTGTTCTTTTTTGCAATACACGTTTTGTTCAATAACTTGAAGAAAAGCAAAATCGGTTTTTGGTCAAGTTTATTATTTATTTTTTTCTATGTAATCTTTTTTTCAAAAGTAAGTGATGTCAGTGTTATGAAGAGTAAGTAATCGAACCAGCACAATTAACAAGCTTTTGAAAAAAACTACGAATCGTGAAATATCACTTATGCCTAGGCGTAAAAAGTTTACACTTGGAAGTATTGGGAATCTGTGGTACTTTATTCCTTCAAACACTTAATCGTCATTCACTGATCTACAAATAAAATGACACGCCAAATACATCTACATTTGCAACAAAAAAATTTGTAAGCTAAGTTCTTTTAAAAACTGTACGTTTTCTGAACCACAGGTCTGCCTGAGGTGGAACAGTTACCACAGCAACATGCAGCACAGCTTCCCGTCGCTGCTGGACAGCGAGGAATTTGTCGACGTGACGCTCGCCTGCGAGGGCCGCTCGCTCAAGTGCCACAAGATGATTTTGTCCTCGTGCAGCGACTACCTCGCCCAGTTGCTGCGCGAAAACCCCTGCCAGCACCCCATTATACTGATGCGCGACCTCAAGTTTTGGGAAGTCGAGGCGCTCGTCAAGTTCATGTACAGGGGCGAGGTCAACGTTACCCACGACAAATTGCCCCAGTTGCTCAACGCCGCCGAGACCCTACAAGTCAAGGGGCTCGCCGGTCCGAGCAACACCCAGGTGAGGAGGAAACTCTAGATTCTTCGTTTTACTACCTTTTTTTGTGACAAATTAACTCTTGCTCGAGTTTAAAAATCATGGGCAGCCCACTTTTCTTTTTTTGTTTTATACGCGTCTTGTACCGAACTTGTTTATTTTTGTATTTTCATCGGCGTCAATATTAAAGTCGTGCCGATAATGTTAATTTTGCAATTGCGACTAAAATTCGCACGTGTAGGTCATTTCATACCTCGAGAATCAGTCCAATGAATTAATCATCGAGTGTTCCCTTCGATAACGAATTTTGTGGAAATGTGAGGAAAAAAAAAAAAAAAAGCAAATTTACGCAATGCGCAGTACATAAAGTAAAACTAACAGTTGGAATTTGTGGTTTCAGAATCCAAAGCCTCCTCTGCTGATACCCCAGCCGAGGGCATCCGCTCACCACTCGATTAACCGCTCGCGCACCGAAACCAAAGACAAACCATCGACCTCGACCTCGAACTTGCTTCCCAACATACCGTTGGACTACGCCCGTAACCACATTCCTACCAGCACCCCCTACGCGTCGTCAATCCTCAAACGCGGCATCAAACGCCGCAAGGCGGATCTCGGCGACACGCCCGAGGCTCGTCCCTTCACGAAAATCCGCCTGCAACGGCCAGTCACACCGTCGATCGGTAAACAACGGGATTCCAAAATCAGAGCCGGCAGTGGTGGTGGGAACAGCAACATTGTCACCGCTGCTGCCGCCCTTGGAGGTGAGGGCGGTAACGTCGACACACCAGCCGTCAAGGAGGAGCCGATGGACGTTCCCCTCAGCCCAGGCGACCACCTGTACCAGCCGCATCCTCGGGACGACGACGACAGCTCGGACGGGCACACCTTCGAGTCGATCATCAGGATGCACCAAGAAGAGGACCCCGGTGGGGAAAATACGGAGCTTGCCGATCCGGGCTCCGACTACGGTGAGACACACGCGCGATTAACTTTGAGACCAAAGCGAACCGATCTGCTGAACGCGAGTTTTGCTTTCTTATTGCAGATAACAACGACGACGACGAGGATGACGACGACGATGACGAGGACGATGACGCGGAGCACATGGAGTTTGTGCCCACGGACTTTCTGGAGCAGGAGCAGAACATCGTGGAAGAGCCCGAGGAGCAGTCGAACCGCAGTAGTATGAGCTTCGCCGATGACGATTCCAAGCGAAACGATCGAGACGAAAGGGTGGGAAGTGAGCAGGGCGATGTGGTCGAGGAGGAAGATGAGCAGGAGGACGAGGTCGGGGAGGTCGTGGCAAAGAGAAAAGGGGAGCCAGGTGGGCTAGAGCAATCGAAAAAGGACAAGGATAAAACGTAAGGCGGTGTAATGTGTCTGTGATCGTTGGCTATATCTAAATTCTAAATAAAAGTGTATTTTCTTCGTTTTCGCGAGAAAAAAGATGCAGTCGTTCGTAAGTGTTGCGTCGCGTAGCGGAAAAGAAAGATTATTTACTCGAGAAAAAGTATTAAAAAAACGGTGTTTTTCCTTTATTTTTTTTTTTTCTAATTCTTTTTTACGATATATTTTTTTTTTTTCTTTAGTGATTGTGTCTGAAAGTTTCAGCTATTCACGTGTTTTGAGCTTACCTTAAAGCGTAAGATTGATACTTTTGGCGTTGTTGGTTAGTACTTGTTCTTTTAATGGAAATGGTTGACATTTTTACTGTATTTTTATTTGACAAACAAGGTTACTATGAGAGTTACGTTACTTTTGCAAGTCAATTCATGTAAAAATTGATTGAATGCGCGTTAACGATTCAGAAAAAACAAAAAAAAAGTTTATTCAGTCAATTTGCTCATTACTTTATTTTGATGATTATGTAAATGCCAGTGCATTCATGCATAATAAGCATAAATCAGTATTTACTTTTTCCGCAGATTCAAATGAGGAAGAAACTAAAATTTTCTTTGAAACGGCCCAATTTTCACGTTTTTCGTCATCATTATTATTATTATTCTTATTGTTTTTTTTTTTTGGTTTTCATACATTCGTCTCAACTGCTGAATAACGTATCTTTCCTTAGCATTTATCTATACAAATCATAAATGTAAAAATAGTAAGAGTACCGTAATTTTTTGTATTTCAGATAAGCTTATTATTACTTGTGTATTTCTATTAGTTTGATGGCCAAACATTCAATATTGTGATTTTCTTTCATACTTTACTAAGTAAGTGTATATAAAAACTACAAATAGTATAAAATAATTTATACTTAAGTCATTTATATTTAAGTACAATTGTGCGTAACTATAATTTTAACGCATCTAAGAAGAACCTTATATCAAAGATCTTTAAAAATTTTAACATTTAAAACGTCGATTACTGAAAAGGATTTTTATAGATCTTTAACTTTGGAATCGAATCTACTTTCGACATTACCTACATATTATAATAATGTTCAAACTTCCACAATGCCAAATTTCAAACATTACAAAAACTCTCCGATTAGGATAAAGTTGTTTATTACTTCTGAATACATAGGTCATTGAATTCACTTGTCTAATTGGCTTTCTTTTTTTTTGTCATAGTGTTTTATTCATTCAATATAATGTATTGTGAAATTCATTGCATCCCAAATATCTCACAGTAGAGTATTTTAAGTAAATTACCGGCTCTGTATTGTACTTGTGTGCCATTTATAATAAGATTCGCTTTAAGATTTTAATTTATGCATTTAACGATCAGATTCTGATAGTTTTAACGACGGAAATAGTGTATATTGCAGTGTTATATTTTTTACCATAAGAAAAACTTAATCATCAGTATACGTACAATTGTCTGTACTTGTAAGAAAGTGAAAAAATGTTCACTGTCATCGAATGATAAAAACCAAATTTATCTTTAATATAAATATTATCATCCTGTATAAAGCGATGTCTTGAAAATAAAAAATTAGATAAGCATCAATAAAATTTACTTCATTTGTAAATCATTGTCATCACGAAGATAAAATTATGCCTGTTTGAACAAAGGTTAGGACAAAAACACTTATTTGAAAACAAAATGTTTCATTCTGGTGTCGTCAGATATGTTATGAGTACCTTATTATTGTCAGTTGAGTAGCTTCTGTCTATGTCTCTAGAAGAGGCAATTTCCCTACAGAAGCAAGTACAATGTTTTGTTGTACTCAACTACTATCTGCATTTGTAAATAATTAAAATAATCTTCTGGATTTCTTGATGTTCAGGACATTTTTTTGAATTCACAACTTTTTTCAAAAGATTGTTGCAGGTTAAACCACAAAAGCTGTATGTAACAAATAGTAACATGCTTTATGAGGAGCGTTTTATTTCAAACACTGTAAGTAGCAAAAACTGTTGGGAAGTGTGGATAAAACGGTTTATTATTTTGAATCTAAGGACAATATTATGTTTCATACACTGGGTTGTACTTGCTTAAAAAATTCAATTATTTTGTAGACAATGTTTCCCTCTATAAGAGAATTGCAGTACAACAAAACGTTAACATTTGATGTTTGTTTTCAATTGATGATCAAAAGTGAAAGGAATCTTGTCATGATACAATCAATTCACAGCAGAGATCTCTGGAGCAATATTCCTGAGATGAAAGATTATAATTTTTTATTTACACTAGCTAAATGAATCAAGTTTACCCTACACGTTTTTATTCACATTGTAACATAATTGAAAGGATAAAGGGAAAGATTTGATCTTAAATACATAGGTACAGAGCGTCATGCGTTTTCTTGCATTTCACATTGAATCGCATGCATTCAGTGTCCAATCGATGTCCAGTTGTTTTTAATTTTAACTGCAATGTGACAGTTAAGTAACAGCAGTCACTCTTAGTTAATTTATTTTTCGATTGCAACAGCATCTTAAAATTGACACTCAAGAATTAGGGTTAGGACTTTTTTATTGGACCATCTCCCCGATTGAATGACCTTTGAAATGTATAAATCGGATGCCTCCTAAAATGTCACCCTACTTAAGATAACTTTCATTACTTGAAATGATACATCTATAATAGCCGAGTAAATGCCTTATTAGATAGCTTGGAAAATAAATAAATTAGGTACACGTACTTTTTGTGCCGTACATAAAAATAAATCTCATGCAGAATTATTGATGGCAGTACGTATACAAATTGCATTGATGGTAAAACGGTACGAATAAGCCGATATCTATAATAAGGGCGGGTTTAGATGGAGTCTGGGAGTCTGCCAGACTGGCATTGAAGCTCATAAGAGTGAGAGAGAGGTTAATCATCTAAACCCACCCTTGTGTAATACACTACTGAATTACTGGTAGAACAAAAAGTTGAAGTTTGAATTTAAAGATAAAAATCCGAGAATTTCCGACTCGAAGGGGATATACCTACTATATGGTGACTTTTTTGTTTTTCAGTTAAAAAGTATCTAGTGCCGAAAATTCAGTCTGGTGTAAAGTGGTAACCGCGCCTGGCGGCAGATATTCCGCGCTATCGTTTGCAGCTCCTTTTGAAAAGAGTTTTCTGTTAGCGTACTTATATCCGTGTGTCCTTGGTTTGGTCATCAGAATAATATTTTTGTTACCTCTGATTGTTACTCCGAAAGTTTATTATATTCACCGGCGAGGCAAGCATCTCATTGAAGGTAACAAGATGCTGTATAGTATATACATATAACAACTAACTACAGTAAATATTGTTTTCTACGTGTTCGCTTGTAAGTACTTACATAAATATATGTTATATTATGTTTACATGGTGCGTATTTCGAGAGCTTTTATTTTTTACCACCGTTTGCCCCCTTTTTTGTCGCTTACGTGGAGTGCTATTATATATGTGATGACTAATCATAAGAGACAAAAGGCATAAATAATCATGGCAATAAACATCATTATTATTATGACATGAGCTCAGCATCGGTCCCCGGCGGTTTTAATTTCAAAGAATCACCAAATAATGTATAGGTGACGTCAATTGATATCTGATTCACATGTATACGTATATTTATACTTATTTAAACTGTCAGCCAAAATGAAAAAAAGCCTGTATTTCTTTTTGGTTAACTCGCATACATTAAAGATAAAATGCTTCAACCGCTACAAGCGCACTTTAAAAGTTTTAAAAGTAGTTTTCATATTCGCTACTTCGCGCCCCAATTTCAAACGATTTTTCTACCCCATAGGTGTGTATATTATAATGTATGGTTTGCCACTTACGTTTTTTCCTTCCACCTCATGATTTACAACATAATGTTGACCAAACAATGAAGAGTCTCACGGGTCGGGGGAGCAACGTACATCAGCCAGATAATAACGTTTTTAATGTATGACCGCACGTGTTTTGTTGACACTTGTTTTAAATCGATACAATCGTTTTACCACCACCCCTGGTGCAGTTAGTACCTGGTAACGTTACTACGAGTCACATGGTACGCAAATATAATCGTTAAAAAACATATTTTAATATTATTATTAAATAGATAAAAAAAAGTTACCTTTCGCTACTAAGTTATTTTGCGTACAAATAATTGTGTGCTGATGAATAACTCTTTACCATATTTGATAGTTAGAAAGTTGCTCTTTACAAAACTTTTGTATACCTTCTGAAAAATTCTAGTAAAATTAAATTAGATGTATGAGAAAAATACATGTTATACTTGTAAGTGATTTTTTTTGTTTGTGTCAACATAACTAATTTCGTACAAAAGTTTTTTCTGACGTATAAAATAGATTCTTTGCACCACAACGCTTCTGTGACTTTGGCATTGAATTTTAATCATCATGCATTTTTATTAAATATAAGTCAAGCAAAAATTATCTCGTTTATTTAATTGTCTATGATGAAAAGTAAAAAATAAAATTATTTTTCTTTTTCATAAACACCATAAGTTATTATTAATGTTTTTTTTTAATTCTTTTTTTTTGGGGGGAAATTAAACTAAAAGTTTTAGTATTTATGTAACTAGTTAATAATAACAATAATAGACTAACCATTCCTAAGTAACTAGGAAAAGGGGAAAGAAAAAGCAAAGAAGGGCCTTTCCTCCGAGAGTTAGTTATTGGTTGTCCATCAGGGTATAATATCCCGTTACAATCAATGTTCGCCGTACCTCAGGGGTAATGGTGCTTTCTTTGGGCGCAGGAAAACTGAAAACATTCGCCATGTGTTGAGAGCAAAAAAAAAGTTTAACCGAGGGATATTTGGCGTCTAGCGGAATTCCAAAGTTTCTTCGTGGATATGCTCCGAGGGTTTCCGGGTGACCCACGTCTGTTGGGATTCAAAATTAGTAGAGACATCGGATCATATAATGTGTCTCCGATGTTACAATGATGTTTGAGTATATTATACACACACAAGGGTATTTACATGCTCAAAATGCAACAATACATGATAAAATGTTCCTTTGTTTCAAAATGCTTCACAAAAAACCAAACGGTTATTTTTGGTTCGGGCACGTCTTGCCAAAAATTTTCTGTAGGAATTCCCGCAAAAACTTCTCCGTGATTTTGGCGTGAAAGTCTTACAGAGGACGTTGTCACCACCGAAAATTTCGTGGTTACTTTGACTTACAAAAATATACATGTACCTCGTATTATAGATATACCGACCTCATGATAATATTAAAACTTGAGGGTATATAGTACACGAAATGTGTTTGAAAATTTTATAAATGATATTTTGCTATGTGAAAAATAGAGGGTTTTGGTGGTATCATGAGGATTACGTGATTAATATTGGGTGGAGTAAATTCTTACGAAATTCCGATGCCTTGGTCAAAGAACTCAAAATTGCCTTGAAGGGAGCACCAACTCCAGATTCGGTTTCAACTTAACGTGAGCGCTGTCTCGAATGGAATTTTGAGTTGGCGCTTTCTTTCACCGAAGCGTCGATATATAACATTATGCTGTTTTCCGAGTTAAAAATCAAAGATAAATGGTAAACACTTTTTTTTTTTATTTATTAGAAGAGCGTAATCATGGGTGACTCCCAAGAGTCAAATGTTACCATTTTGAGCGACAACTCGATATACGGGAACGAGCCCGAGGTGACGTGCTTCTTCGCTCAAAAGGTCGACGAAATCACGGAAACTGAAATGAAAAAGATCGAGGTGCAAAAGGTACACACCCAACTCGTGTTTTCTTATACACGTACCCAAACACTTTTAAATAAAAAGTTTTTTAATTGATGTCACGAAAAAAAAAAAAAGAAAAAAGAAAGAAAAAAAATACAATGACAAAGAGCACAGGTATTTTTCAAAGCTACCCTTTTCAATGTGGGCGTGTTTTTTTTTTTTTTTTTTTTTTTTCTGTAGATGGAAGGTGAGCTCACGATAAGAACGCTGGAGCAAGGGTACCGCGAGACGAAGAAGAAACTCATCCATGCCCAAAAAAAGTTGGGCGAAGCCAGGAAAAAGGCCTCCAACCAAGCCGAACAAATCGACCGGCTGATGCGGGCCAACACGGCTATCGTGGAAAAGTAAAATTCAAAAACTCCTCATCACGAGAGCCACCCGTGTGCGCGCGAGAGTCAATTGACAAATGTTTGTTTTGATGCTTACCAGGTTCCGGGAGCTGAAAAATTACCAGAATGATATTATACTGCCTACGGTGAGCGAATTTCAAAGCGCATCCGTTGGCTGTAGGAGCAAAAACGCTGATCTATCGAATGAGCTGCGAGTGATACTAGGTCGCAGTGATTATTTGGAGCGCCTGAAAAGGGACGTCTGCGACAAAAGGGCTGTGGTCAACGCCGATGGTGAGTTAATTGTTGCAGTGATTGTCTCTTGGATAATGCGAATTGCCAGATGTTACGAAACTCGTTGATTTTCAGTTGAAAGGAAAATCGGGGAGAAAAAAGGTGAATGTGCGCGGCTGAACGAAATAATGATGCATTGGAGACAAGAAAACGAAAGGGTCAAAATTCTGCTGAACCGCGAGATGTCCGATTACAATTACAACATAACTTTGATAGACGATCACACCAAGAGGTGATCAGAATTCAAACTTTGGTTTTTTTCTTATCCTCATTCAATTAGAATTCTGATAATATCAGGCTCATCTTCATTTCTAACTATACAGA